GTAATTCTACCTATAGATCTCTTCACAATTCGTTTTGAAAATCGAAATTGAGTATAAATAGCACACTATAGAGAGTACAAATGATATCACTCTATATTCTAAAGGGTTTTACGCGTTTGGGGACTGCGGGTACTAAGCCATGTTTGAAACCTACTATAACATGCTGCTATGTAAGAGAATCGAGTGGCTTCGAAGAGACGAATCCACACCCATGGTCACTTAATTCAGACATGCTGCACTTAAATGCTTAGAGCATAATGCTTTTGATTGACAGATTAACAGTCATCGTTGCCATTGGAATATGAACTACTGACTTAAAATTTTTAATCTATAAGTGGTTCTTCGTTCATATTTTAGGTTTAAATGACATGTGTGGAGTTCAGGAGAACCACTAGCTTATGGTATGAAATTCCCAAAAAATAAATTCTATATTTGAATAGCAAGTGAACTCTTCCCGACACTGGTATTTATCTACATGGTTTGGAGGGACTTATTTTAGACTTCCGCGTGTCTCATATTCTGGCCTGATGACGACCTAGACAACTATGGTAAATCGAACGATTGTTTTTTTTTGGCCATCCTGTGCGCCAGATGAACATTGGTTGAGAAGTTCAGTTAATGAATGCAAACGCAGTTCCGTTCATGATTTTACTGTCAAGGATGATTATATGCCATAGTTTTAATTATATATAGCCTAGTACAATTTTTTTGAAAGTTATTGGTATATATACGAAAGCAGACACATTGCTCTTGGAAGAGCATGAGACTATAATACTTAAAACACCTCAATTCACTATTCGCATACATTAAATACACATGCTCATATAGTGAAGAAGCTCATCACAAATGTATCTATGCCTCCAATAACATATATAATATTTTGGGATAAATATTCGTTTATATACCAAAAGGCAGATCCTATGAAATCAAGCTCTTAATCTTGAGTTGCTGGAATCGGGAACTGAAGGAAAGTCAATCGTGCACTTAGGGAGGCTAATGTACTGATGGTTGACCTATTCTCATACTAAAGTGATCAATATCTGAGAGTCTTATTTTTGTTCTCCCTTGATTCTCACAATCAACTAATCCGATTTTCATTCTTATTTTCACGCTCTACTCTCACTTATATTTATGTATAACAAATGCTCTTCTAGACGCTAACTTCTATTATAGTACAGCAAGTGCTCAGCCGTGAGAAAGGTGGAAGATTAGATGGGAACTCAAGCTCTATGTCCAAACATCTAGAGAGGGACCTGCTTATGCACCTGCAGGGCAACTTCGATAGATTTGATCTCGGCTTAGCTGATGCTACAATCAGCGCATGAGGAGACAGGTGGGTAGGGTATAGAGAAGAAACAGAGCACGACAGGTTATTGAGAACCTTAGCTGCACAAGCACAGTTTCCCTTAATAGAGGCTATCACCTGTCTTATTTTCTCATGCGATCTTATAGTTGCATACCAACAAAATTACTAGTTAATACATAATTTGGTATGTATCCTGCATGGATTTTTTATATTATAATTGTTCGAGCATGAACCAATGCGATAATTTCCCAAATTATCCAGTTCGAGAACTTTGGAAATCGCACAATCTATTTCACTATGCGTTTGTCTTTTCGCGACAAATGTATGTTGGCTGCATCTTGTTGTATCTTGATACGCATTTTAAAAATATAATCAAGATTTATTATCATGATAATTATTCTTCAAACTAAAAATTAGGTAACGTACTACTCCAACCTGTGTCGGGGCGTCGCCCACGATCTCTTTTTAGACCAGGATCTTCATGATTCCCAGGATATACCCTTTTTTTGTTTACTCACACTTCCGTTGTGATTATAATCAAGAATTGCTGAGGGGAATATCTCATGTGGGCATATGTGTCCCTGCGGGGTTTTTCCAGTGGCAGCCGCCCTGGAACAAATTTTGGGCTGTTAAGGATTTTTGGATTCTTTCTTTATTATTTCTCTTTGTATTTTGTTTATCGTTTCGGTGTACATAAACACTCTACAACAATGTGTATAATTCTACTAGGGTGGACAACACTAAAATTCCTTATAATAAAGAGTAAAAAAAGATGATGAGGACAATTAATAAATAAAAATCCAACTGCAATAAACAAATTGTAATTTTATTTTA